GTATAATTATGAAATTCACATTGTGGTGCTCTTTGCAAACTTCTCAAGTGTCTCCTTCCTCCCTCCACAACACATCCTTTAACCCTTCTTCCTTCAGGATTTAATCATTTTTGTTTCATTTTTCTCTCTTCACCTACAGTGAAAAACGTCGCCTGCAAGTAAACATCACCAACCCTGTCCAGTGCAGCATGCACGGGCGAAAATGCAGCATCTCAGTGAAAACCAAAATCAACCAGTCGGAGCCAAACTTCATCAAGGATCGGACAGATTTCATCCTCTGGGTGCCTGAGAATTAATATTACTCTCCCACTAAGCAGCCTTTCACATTCTTCTGATGCCTTCAATCTTGGTGCCTTCAGTCTTGTGCAGGGAGGGAGATGAAAGTGTTTTTCTGTGACACACCTAGACCTTGTTAAAGCTCTGTGAATCAAGACCTTGAGATGCTCCCTCCATTAACCCAACTATGAGCTTAAATGATTGTCTGATCCATTTTGTACCAAAGTGTTTTTTATTAATGAATTCCCCAGATATATAAAATTATTGTAGAACTAATAGCTGAGACTGCATTGGGAGGAACCAAAGGCTTGTGTAGGAAGAAACAGGAGGAAACACTTTGGATTTTACAAAGACCAAACCTTAATTTTAAATGGGAGCTATATTTGGGGGAAAGAGATTTTCTATAGCACAGGCATAAGAGGCTGGAAGTTACTTCCCTCTAGGCTGTTCCATCTCTTCAGTCTTTTTCCCAAGGAAGTGTCATCTGACCCTCTGAGAGTGTTCAGGCTGGGGATTCATTGTTTTGTTGGGTGGGTTCTATGGTGCAACCCAAGGACTTGCTGAACATACACTGTATTCCTGTATAACTTCTCAGTGGGTCTGGCTTGTAACATATTAGCAAACCTTCCCCTTCCTATTCCCCTTCCCTTTCTAGTATTCAGCTTGGCTCAGATTCTCCTTAAGGATTGGCTTTCAGATGCTGCTTTTACTACAAGCATTGGAGCCCATAGCTTGGGCCAGTATATAATGTGCTTCCTTTGAATGATTCCAGCTGGCATCATTCTGGCCAGTGTAGACCTGAGTTGCCTTTTGTTGCTTGTGCAGCTCTCTGCTGAGGTGTAGAATGGCCTTGTTAACAGGGCTTTGTTTCTTCCTGTGCCAAAATAAACATGTTTTATTTGACTTTGATGGAGAGCACTTCCAGCATCTTAAAACAAGGAGGAGATGTGCTATTTTGGACCACTTAGAAGTAAGCAAATAATTGCAAACCTGACACTGCTGGACAGGTCAGGACTTAAGTACTTATACTGCACACAGCATAAAGCAGTGATAATTGCTTCAGTATGTCTGCTTTTGTTTTAAGTGTGAGAAGGCAGTACTTCCCATTTCTGTGAGCGGGGGTGCAAAATGGCAAACAACCATTGCCTAATTAGCTAGGTGGAAGAAGTCTTATTGTTTGCTTCTGAGTCATTCTTAAATATGCCCCATTTCCTAAGTGGGACTATCTGCTTCTGCCCAAGATGAGTTTTTGCTCTTCTTTTCTAATTAATTTCCCAATGAAAAGGATTGCTATCTCTAGTCTTTTCTTTTCCTGTTGATTGGCCCAATCTTCTAGTATCGTCAAGTGCTCTTAAAAGGGCTTCTTCAACAAAGTGCCTTCCAGATAGGGAATCTTAGCTTAAACCCCATAATTCTCAGCCAGAAACCATCCGCGAGGACACAGAACACAGAGGGAACACGCAAGCAGAATGAAGGAGTTGCCCTAGAAAATCAATATAATTATAGTTTATAAAAGTCTCTTCACGTGTTCTCTTGTTCATTCCCCCAAATGCCAGCACATCCATGGTGAAAAGCAAGCAGTTGGGCCTTCTTCTGAAAAGGAAGTTGGCTCTTGATCAGTCTAGCTGCCCAGACTGAGCATTTACAGTCCTTTCTCTACTGCCAATAGGAAAATGGACCACCTCACCTCCCTGTTCCTCTTTTCTCTGCTTCTGTCTTACCAAAGTGCTTTCAAACGTTTACTTTCGAAACAGCCAAATTAGCCTCAGAAATTTTAAAATGAGCACTTTTATTTCATACCCCAAATTAAAGGCTAGATTTGAATGATGACCAAATTTATGAGAACTGTATGGCAGAGGAAATCTTTCCATACAAAAATATAAATCTACTAAATTGATTATACAATGTGTAATGAAGTATTTTGATTTAAATGAACTATCAGTATTTCTATCTTTCTTGATTTGTGTGTACGTTTGTGTGTGGGGCGGATAGAATACAGTACTGTTTGCATCCACAAAGGTAGTTTCTGCTACCAGAACAGGAAAAGGTAATTCTTTCTCCCCTCTGTGCACTCTCAGTTTGCTCTGCAGGGCACCCAGTCGCCAGGGGAGTGTTGAGAGTGGGCAAGGGGGCTGCAGAGGAGAGGGGAGAAGAAAGTCTAAGTGTATGAGCTGCTCATGTGATACTGGATTCTGCCTTATATGTATGTTTCTAGGTTTTATCTATAAATTAACTATTTCTTAATTGTATGCCTGATTTTTAAGCCCGAGGTAATAGTGTAATTAATATTTTAAAATAGTTTATACAGAAATGTGGACACAAGCCCTATTCATAATTAAGATGTATTTTTGTTTACATAATTGAAATAAAAGGACTCTCATTTATACCCAACTCCATTTGCATGATTTTGATTCTGCATTTTCTGAAGTTTATAGAAGTTTAACAATTGAAAACAAGTTTAAAATAATTTCTAATTCCCTGTAGAAAAATTAGCACTGAAAAACATTCACTAAATTACTGAGTTTGCTAAGAAACTATCTTGAACTCTATTTTGGAAGGGCAACATGCTGTATCTTTTAAATCAGTAAATATAACAGATGTGTGGCTGTAGGACAGGTGTATGAGTGGGGGTTTTTTCCATGATAAACACTTTTATTATTTCTCTTGTACAAGTTTTCTGTGCCCTGTATCCCAGTTCTCCAATACACCTGCAGCTGACTTATTTGAAATCTGTAGCAAGATTATTAATTACTTAACTCGAATAAATGTAAAAATCAATTTCTTTGTAGAATAAATAGGTCATTCTTTAAAATGTTGGATAGAAAATATGCTTTTTTCTTATGTAGTCTGATTGCAAATTCAAAATACTGTAGATTTCACATGATATTCTATGAATATTCTGGGGATGAGCTCAGGGGGCTAGAAGGCAAAACCAGGGTAAGAAACCCAGATTGAATTCCCTGCCTCATCTCCCACATATCTCCCCATCCCCACCTGGATGTCCTGACCTGCCCCAGATCCCCCCCGAGATCCCAACACCCCTCTGTCCCCAAGACAGGGAATCCCCACTCCATCCCCCTCTAAGCCCTCTTGCTCCAAGGAGGGATAACTGAGTTCCCCAGACTCCTCAGCTCTCACTCTCAGTGCCACCGGAATACCCAAGGATCACCTCCAACTCTCACCTACAACACCCACTCACCCTGCTCTCACCCAGGCAGGAGTGCTTTCCACCCATGGGAACTATGGGGGCAGCGTTTGAATTCAGACTGATCTGTACATATATACTGACGTTGTCCAAAGACACATAAAGATAAAAAAAGGCAAGATATTCCTTTTCCCACTGTGCATGCAGTTTTATTTTCCTTATGTTACACAAGAATGTGCTGAGCAATGACTTTGTGGCCCTAAAATGCAGAATTTGAAGCTAATTTTTAATTATAAACCGCTCAGAGTCACTTCTTCATGAGATGGGCAGTGGCTAAATTTAAAATATAAATAAATATATTCTGTGGTGAGATCCTGCAATCCTAGCCTTGATGGCTTTGGGGGAGGGAAGAAAACCTGTCTTGCCATACTAATTCTTGCAATTAAAACATCAAATAAGTGGGGAGTGGGAGAAGTGATCACAAATAACAAGGCTGGATGTCAAATTGGAGTTTTAGAATAACATGCAGTATCAAAGTTAAGAGTGAAATTGAGAAGCTCTTTAACATTCATTCATCTGCTTTTTGGAAACCAAAGTAAAATTAAGAACAACCCCATTTTCCCCACTGGCCAAAGCCTAGAGTTTTAACAACAAATTTATCTCCTGATGCTTGCAACCAATAAGGGAAATCTCTACAGACCACTGCTTCCAGTAAAACATATTTTTGGCTGGAGGCATTCCAACTAAATTAAATTGCTCTGAAGTAAGATGCTTCCACCAGACAGAGGAGAGCAAACCACTTAAATTCTGCAATATTTTCAGTTTCTTTTTAACTTTCTCAACTAAGTTGTCCTAAGATACCAACAACAAATACAGCTTTGAGAGTTGTGAGCTACTGGGTAGGGAAACTGTCCTCTGTTTAAGCATGATTTCTCATTGAAGAAACTAAGTGTGCTTAAGTTTGCACTGTTAATGGCTCATCCTGATTAAAGATAAAAAAGAAAAAGTTCATTATGAGCTAGATATACAAGAATGGCTGCCTCCTATGAATCACATGGGTAGTTCATGGTCCCTACAATATGAGGAAAAGTGTTCATGATCCTTAGGACTGTTGGAGCTGGAGTTCTTCTCAGGGAAAAAAAGGAAAGCAGTAACATGATTTCAGCTAATCTGTGTCATTTTCTCCAACCACTATGGCAATAGTTTTAGAGTTCTTCCCCATCCCCCTGTATTACGTGATATATTTTTATTATTTTTAAAAAATATAATCTCCTGATTCTATTGATGTATTCTATGTTTAAAACATGAGATCTCCAGGCAGTTGGTTAAGATAATTCTGTGATTCTCAGTGTGTACTCTTAAGGTGTAGCATCTGAGACTACATCTATGAATCAAAGTAACTGAACCAGTTTTAAGATCATATTGGTTTAAACTATCTTTTGTCAGGGTAAATTCAACTGTTTCCCAAAGGCTTCATTATTTACCACTGTCTTCCTTGTCATTAACATCATCTTCCCACCATCAGACAGCAGCTTTTTTAAAAATCCTCCGAAAATCATCTGTGTCATGGATGGTCAGTGCATTTTATTTTTAATCAGCACAGTACAAAAATAAATAAAAATAGGGGGCATTAAGTTACAGGCACACACAGCTCTGTGACAGTCTTGTCATATTTATAAACCTCACATACTTACAAACACACTATAGTACACATACATACAAAAGAGACCATTTATAAATTAAGTAATAATAAGCAATAATACCAATTTTGGTCAACAGATATCTACAGAAGGGATTGCACACTAAAAAAAAAATTCAAAAACTTTAACATACATAGACACAGAATTTAGCAGATCCTCTTTTCTTTTCTCCCACTTCCAAAATGTAGTTTTGAAGAATGTTCAAGTGAAAAAATGGCACACTTTTTTCTTTGTGTTTTCTTCCTTTGAGAAAAAATAGTTTAGAACAGAGCTAAACATTAAGAACTGTGTACAGTTAATATCAGAAAATATCTAGAAGTCTTGAGATGAAATACATTGACTTGAAGAAATGAGGGTGTGGATGAAAGTCAGCAGGAGGAGATCTGCTTGAAATTTGTGCATGGTGAGTTATTGTGTTGCTGTTTTTTTTTCTTTTTACAATCAACTGTTCTAAAGTTTTGCCTGTTGTCAAAAGTCACAATTCTGCTTTTGGCATGCACAGTATTACTGTAAAGCAATAATGGAATAACAGAAAAGGGTTAGGTTTTCTTTTTCTTCTTGCCATAAGCATAGATTTTGTTCTAAAAGGATTCATTTCATACAGCAGCATATTACAGTCTCACTCATTGCTCTTCTATATCAAGTATGTCAGCCGATCTTTCCCCCCTATTATAAAACAGTAAATACATAGGATCAGGCCAAGACAGTTTTGTACAGCAATTATACCACCAAATCACATTTGTTTCCCATGCAGTGCAATCTAAAGCATGCCTACTCAGAAATAAGCCTGATTCATCAAATACAACTTATTTCTATGTAAACATGCATAGGATTGCCGCTTTAAGATTTCATACTCATATGAGTAGAACTGTGATTTTCCTTTAACATATATGTCTTTTTCAAAAAGGAGAGGAAGGGCAAAAAGATTTACTGTCTTTCGAACAACCAGAATTTCTTCAGATACGTACCAGAATTTAGTCTGAGCCGCTAAAGAGTTTCAGAAGTCAGCCCCAATGCTGGGGTCTCCAAGGGAGACTGAAATGATATCACGTGCCACCCATTTCAAAGAAACCAGTGGTCATGCACCGGAGAATGCCTTGCCTCCCTTCCCCATCCACCGTGGAGAACTGTAGAGGAGCCCTCCCTTCCTCTCCTATGATGCTAAGGCTCAGTTTTCTTTTACGAACTCAACAGCATGCTTAACAGTCAGTGTCTCGCTTCTTAATGGCTCAGATTTTGGCCTAGCTTTGGAGGCGGCGGCAAGACCTGCTGAACAAACCCAGCAGCTGTTTAATCATCACAACATAAGTCTTTAGTTCCAATCTGCCGCAGCCTCTCAGCTTCGACCTTTTCAGTTTTCACAGCTTTTTATGTTCCTCTGCATTTTTAATAGTGCTTTGCTGTTTTTTTTAATTAATTGCAAGCTACTCTATTTAAAGACATAAGGTACAATATAGCCCTCCCTCTGCCTTTCTGCTAGAATGCCAGCATCCTCAGCAGCAGCATTAGAAGAGCTTTCTAGAATATTTCTAACTTATCCTTTTGTCCACAGCCTTCTTCACCTCAGAGCATTATTGCCTTTATACTATCTAACTGTCCAGCTTGTGAGAACTTAAAACAGTGCAGGAGATGGCCTCCATGCCAAAAGTTCACATCTTCCACAGAACCCTAGACCTGGACTATTGTCATTTAATACATATTATCACTAACTGAGGAAAATTCAGTCTCCCCACTACCCCTTTTTATATACACTTTTGACTATCCCTGAAGATCAGAATATTTTAACCTTTACTGTTTAGGAACTGGAAAACTAAACAAAATAAATATCTAAGCATCAAAATCTAATATTAATCAAATATTTAGATGTCCAGTGTGGGGAAAAAAATATTTAAATTCTTAGATGTTGGTGTGTAACTGTAGGTCTATAAGGTGGAAGAGAAAGTCTCCAAGCATGGGAAAAGATCTGTGGCCAAAAAAGAACCATCTGCAATATTACTCTACAAAATATACAAAATATGTGAACATTTTGTATCTGCTGCAGGTTTAGATTACAACTTATCACTAGTCACAGTCCTCAACAATATAATAGAATGGAGTTCCTTTATTATCATTCAGTGGATTCTCTTGTTCTGCTTATTCTCTTTTTGTTTTTGTTTCTTTGTGGTTGTTACTGTGTTTTCATAAAGTATGAAGGGTGTTGGTTGGCTGAATGCACATGAACTTTACCCTCCTGGTTGGGGATGCAAGGAGCCCCTTAGGAGAAAAGCATTTCTACACTGAAATTCAATACCAAATCCTACATGTGATAGATAACATGATCCTAACATTTTTCAGTAAATAATTGAATTAGGGAACTTTATTGCAGCTGCTCAGAAAAATCTCAAGGGACTCAAACTCAGCCTGTCTGAAACAGCAAAGTTATATTATGCAAATATTGCCCCCAAAGAATTAACCATTTCTGACCAGTCAAATACCAACATATATCGCTTGCCAGCAAATCGATACCAGCTGACTAGTATCTGTCCCCTGAGGCTATCTTGAATCTCACCTCCCAGTCCATATTAACTCCTATGGTTTATTTCTGCCTTAGCAGGAAAGGACTCTCAAATCTCACCTTCACCCTTTGACACTGATGTTTAGAGAGAACCCTATGGAGCCTAGGTCATAGGCCCCCAATGAAATGGGTGCAAGAGGTGATAGCATACACAAAATCATGTGTGTTTCCTGTATATTTCTGACTTTTCCTTACCCATTTCTGTTTCTCAATATAATCGCACTGTCATGGAGTAAGAGTCCATTTTGGAGGTCAGTACTGTGTTGGTGTCATTTTGCTCAAATTGGTGTGCAAAGTAAGAACATCTAAATTATTATTTTTAACATCCCATTCTGGGATCCCTTTTCTGGAATACCAGGTGCTAGAACATCCACTAGATCTGGTCTCTTTCTTCTTAAGAACTGCAAATGCTATTCTCCTCCACTGCCTTCCACTGTGAAGAATTAAATCCTACAAGCTAGTTCACCCCAATTCACAAGCCAAAGCAAAAGGTGAAAGGACGCCATGATCTTGTACTGTGGTGCTTGCTTCTCCACTCCATTTTGCCCTCTCCTGGTTTACAATCTGTGGAAAGGAAGCCATATCCATCACATGCAGCAAAACAGAAAACAGGCAGACCCATTTCATCTCTTGTCAGTTTTGATTCATAGAAGCCAAGCTAATAATGGTGGAGACCAGCGGTGGGTGGCTGATTTCTTTCAGGCCTGTCCAGTCTCACCTATGTGTCCTGGCTTGTTTGGAAAACGAAAAGAACATAAAACAAGGCAAACGGACAGTTCCCTTTCGTGAGAATGACCAGGAGCTTGGCTCACCGATCCAGGCCAATGAGCAGCCTGTTCTTCTCTTCTTGGCTGCTCTCATTCTTCAGGTCAGCAAAGACCTGAGTGAAATAGTGTGGGTCAGCGTTGACCTGCAACATTTTGGGACTCATGAGGTTGATGATGGAGAGGCAACGATCCCAAAATGCCTCTTTACAGCTCTCCACCAGGAAGGGCTTGAGAGGGTAGGAGATCTCATTGCCCATATAGGAATAGGAGAGATAGAGGCAGGTAAGTAAGACAGCCTGAAGATCATGGTCCGTGGCTACTTCAGATGAGATGACATCCCGGCAAAGCATGTACAGAAAGACCACATTGGCTGGAGTGATGAAGCCTTGGTCTTGCCAGCCTTGCAGAAGGAGAGACCGGTCCACACTTCTTAGCCACAAGACCGGGTCGGTGGGAGAAAGGTGCTTCAGCCTGTAGCAGCGTCTGCAGAGGAATGCCCCCAAGCATCGTAGCAGCTCGCTGGTTGAGGCTTGGACAAGGACCCTCTTGGGGGTGCCAGATGAGTTGCAGCTGGGGTGAGGGGTCTTCTTGACAGAAGAAAGGGTGCCCTTGGAGCTGGAAATCTGGTGGCTTGGAGCTGTAGGCTGATTGCCCTGGTTCTGGGCAAAGGTGGAGAGGTTGGCACAGGAGAGAGATTTCTTTAGGTTCTCATTGTTGAGGTGCGTGATGTTGTTCTGATAGCTGCTGTTGGGCTGCACCTTCTTGGAGTTTTTCTTTTTGGCAGATACAGCTGCGATGCGTTTCCAAGGCAGCACTGAAATGATAGAGTGGCGCTTCAGGCTCTTATCCTTGGCGTTCTTACTGTTCTGGACTGCGGTGTAATGCCCCACTGTGGTCGAACCATCCTCAGAGAGGGTGGCCTTCCGGTAACTGGGTGAAAGGCTCAACACAGTGCCCATGGTGCACAGGCAGCTGGGAGAAGAGCAAAGTGGACAGAGCTGGGTGCTGTCACCACCAGGGCAGAGGAGTCTCTGCTTCAGCCCTGCTCTGCTCTCCCTTCCGTCACTGCCTTAATCGCTCGGATTCAGAAGTTACCTGCCAAAGGCAAAAACAGTTTGAATAAGCCCAGGCAGGGGTCTGTTTTCTCCCAGATACACAGCCTCCTGCTTTCCAGTAGTACTAACCCCATTCAATTATATTACTTCCTGAGGATGCTTATATTAATGAAAGTGTTATTACTTTTATTACTTTCCTCCATTTCTCCCTACCAAATGTTGTGCCCATCAGTGGTATAATTAGTCATGCTAGATTCTGGATTAAATTGTCTTAGGTGGGGGGGAATGACAAGGGGGGGAGGGCACCTAAAACCTGACTTGCACAACTGCAAAGGACTGCCTTGCAATATGGGACCTTGAATTTCAAGCCCAAAGCCCTGTAGGAATGGCACTCTCTGATGTCCCCCCTCAAGACCTGCTGGGGTTTCCTTCTATATAAATGGCCTACATGCTACTCCACCGTGAAAGCTGAAGGAAAAGGCTAGGTGTCTTTACAGAGGAAGGCTACACAGATACCCTTGCCCCAGTGTTATGTTGGCAAGTGTACATGGATGTATAAAGTCTGTCGGGGATGCTTTCTAGAGAGGGAGCCATGTTAGTCGGCTGCAGCAAAACAAAGAGTCTCCCAGCACCTTGAGGAATAATTGATTTATCATGGAAGATGTCAGATGCTTCTCCATCTCTCTAAAAAAGGTATCTCTCCATCCATGTGCATTCAGTTTCTATGTACAGACATAGAGAGAGAGAGAGAGAGAGATCAGTCACCCCTGTTTTTAATTAAAGACGCCTACCATGCATATTTATCGCCTACCCCTCCCCCCCCCCGGGTCTGGCTACCAAATAGCTAGAAATGATGGTACCTTTAAGAGGGAAATATTTCTCTTCCACCAAATCGTCTTTCTTCCCTTCATCCGAGCTTCGCTTTTTCGGCGCGCGCGAGAGCGCGGGGCTCCACACGTCCTCCCTCCCGCCGCAATTTTGCTGCATTCCCCCCGCCTCCCCCCTGTGCCGCGCTCCGCCCCGACAGAGCCGCGCTCCGACAGTGTTCCGGGGACTAAGAGCGCAACCCGAGAGCCTCGGTGCCGTTTTGCCGCG